AAGTGGTACGCACCCGAATGCATATACTATTACAAGTTTAGCTCAAAGTCCGACGTGTGGAGCTATGGGGTCACCCTATGGGAGACAATGTCCCGGGGTGAAATGCCATATCAGGTACGTTTGTATTGTAGTTAACTAGATTGTAAATTAATTAATTTGTTTGTTTTATAATTGATTTAACTATTTGTTTGTGTATACAGGGTATGGACGGACAGGATATACTAAGGATGTTCAAAGAGAATAAGCGACTGTCTAAACCGGACACTTGTCCTATAATTATATACCAATTGATGTGGAATTGTTGGCACTTTAAGTAAGATTTTATTTGTATTTTTAAATTAATTGTAATATATTTACAATTTTTTTAATTGACTTATTTTTTAATACTTTTGATTTGGTTTTTGCAGACCTGAAGACAGACTGAATTTCACGCAAATATGCGATCAATTGAGTCGTTATCTCACGAATCGAGAGAAATAATAATAAGTAAATGAATGAATGAATGAATTGGATATTTATTTGCAAGGAAAAATTTTTCTGTGTTTTCACCATTCAATCCATTATATTCTCAATTATATAACAAAACAAAAGGACAACAAAAACAAGACTAAAATAAATAAAGAAAAAAATCTTTTTATTATCTCAAAGAAAATCAATTTTTTGAACAACAATACACACCGACTATACTATCATCTTATTTGTCAACAATAATCTGGGTTTTAATTCTTATGCCAACAGTAAATAGCAAACAGAATATTCTGTACTTATTTTGAAGGGAATATATTGACGGAAACAACACCTTATAGGGTATATCATTATTTTAACTACAGTAGAAATGTGTAAATTGTTATTGTATTAACTGTATACCATCTTGATTAATGTTGGCATTAAGTAATTAATACATGTTAATCGTGAGATTAAATTGTAAAAATTCACAAACAAACAAAATTACCATATTGTATACATAACTAAATAGTTAACATTATATAACGCTTTTCTAGTTAAATCACCCAAGCGTTAAATGTAACAAAGATGTTTTTTGATACGTGAATATTAATTTTACATAGGGTTAAATAGGTATTCAAAAGCAACAAAATACCAACAAAATGTGTTAACATTTTAATTAACATAATCTGTGATAAGAAATAAAATTCCACACAAAAGACTAAAGGTATTCAACATATAATATAAAACAATATAATTATTAAACAATTTAATTAAATTATTGACAAAACAAATGCTTTATTTATGAACATAAATATTAAATGAATACAAATTGCAATAATATTTGTCTGAATATAATACTGATTGTTATTATTCTTGTATTGAAATAAAATAATACAAAAAATATTTGCATATAAAATAAAAATGAGTTTTTAAAATAAAAAATTTCAAAACATTGTTTCATTCATTTAATCTAATTATTGATTTATTTAAATAAATTTATTTATGGTTAAAACAACACATTTGCATTTATAATATACAATATCTATAATACAGTATATTATATGGGAAAATGTGTTGAGATTTATTGTGATTTATTTGTGAATAAATTATAGCCCTATTCTCTATGCACTTATTCAGCCATCAATACAAATGTGTTATATTATAATCACATACTTATCGATGCGTTTACTATTGCCATCACTTTTGTCGTTGATTTACTGTAACACCACTTGTTATATACCATGTCGTTATGATTGCAATGGGATATACATGGGATGAACATTAGAGACAACATAAACATAAATACACATCAATATAAAATTAGATGGTATGGTAGATAACATAGATGACATAGCTCAACATTATATGCATTGGTTTGGACATGTTTAAATAGTTACTTCAGATTTATACATGTAAAATAAATATATTAACTTAAGGAATATATTTTATTGTTAATTTTATGGATATTTACAAATATTAATTGTTAATAGTTCATTAATATCAAATTTTGAATAAAATTAAAGTCAATGTTGATAAAATATAATATCAGCATGACAAACCAAATATAGTATAATATTTTTATATGTATTATAAAGAAATACAGTAAATATTTGTATTTTAAACAGAAAGTTTAATGTTGTCATCTTAAATCCTAAACAGTTTATCAAATAATTGACTAGTATCAATTAATTATAAATAAATAATTACACACATTTACCATTTTATTTAGATAATTATGAAAGATTATGTTTTAAGTTTGCATGTGTAATATTATCTAAAATTATTTACCACAATAGGAGGCGTAATATTTATTAAGTAAATTCTTTACATATCAATAATTACCTTCATTTTAAAAATTGTATGCGAATTTAATAAACTAAACATAATTAACAAATATATTAACAAAATAACTACAATAAATACAACAAATTTAAGTTAATACTATCAGTTAATTTATATTATTAATTAATATTAATTAACCATATACATTTTAGTTTAATGATTCATATAATTACACTTTTTGTACTACTGTATATCAATTATTATCAGTCAAATACTATTAGTTAATTTTATCAACATTCACCTGCTTATTTATAAAGTACTTACAAGTTAGTATTGTAGTTCATTTTCATGTAGTTTTTTATATTACATTCTATAACATTTTTAATCAATAACATTCAAGTGCACATAACTTACTTTAATAATATTGAATCAATAAAATTAATTATTAAAAAATTTATAACAAAATAACAATTTTAGAATATTTTACAAAATATATTTAACAATATAATTATTTACATAATATTTTTCATAATTTTTAATTCATATAACAAAAACTCAAAGACATACATATAATCTGGTTTGATGTAATGAAACGATATGATGGTTGAACTGCAACA